TTATACAGAAAAAATAAGAAATACGTACGAGTTTATTATTAGCAAAACAATAATAATTTATGCTTTAACTAGTTGAGTAACAATACTCTGAATTTGCCCTTTAATAACTTAGTCGACTAAGCCTAATCATAATTTTAAGCTTTGACAACAATCATATCTATAACTCGAGCTATACTAAACAGAATAACTAAATAAAAAATCATTGTTTTACTAATATGTATGCTAAATTATTTTGCAGTATTGGGTTAATATTAACAGATTACTAAATATACACATTAATAATTTTTATATTAATTCACTATATTTATATGAGTAAAATATATCTAAATAGAAAAGACATTAAAGAAAAATAAATATAACAAGTTTAAGTCTATTATACTAGTAATTAAATGCAAATAGAATAAGACTACAAGATATTTATAATGATGAATTCTGAGTTTTATGATTCAAATACAATCTAATGTATCATTCAAACTTGCTATTCAATATTAACACATGCCTTCATAGACATTCATATTCACGAAATCACATGATAATTTTGAATTGCAAGTTGAATTTATGCTATTTAATATATTAAACTTTCTTTGACGTTAATCAATTTAACTATCCATTAATTTAAATTGTTTATACTAATATTGATTAATACCAGAAATAGATTGAAATGAAGTTTATAGATACGAATCAGAGCCAGTGGTCATTAGAAGCAAAACTAACTAGCAAAATTAGCTAGTAAATTTTGCAAAATTAGCAAAATAGCTTATTAAAAAATTTATATTTATCAAATCTAAATTTAATGTAGTCATATATTCTTTAATGAGTTCTTAATATATTATTCTAGTAAGTTCTCTAGTCATTAGTTAAGAACATGTATATAATTATTTACTTATATAAATTAGTTTAAGAACAAAAGTAATAGTCGCATATTTAGTACAAAAGTAGCAAAGTTAGCATCTTAGCACAAACAATTTTGTTAGATGCTACTAAAATCTACTGGCTTTAATTTATATTATTGATTATCTTAAAACTTGTAATTGTTAAATGAATTTATATTAATTACTTTAGAACTTTTAATTTTCAAATTAATCTAAATAATTCATTAGATAATTTGGTTGTTTATTTATTAATCTATTTTATCTAATTATCTATTAAACATTAGATATCTAATATATAATCAGATAAATGGTTCATGGAGTGGAACTCTATATAATACATAATTAAATAAAAACTAGATCAAATTTGTAAAAAATTGATATGTTTGACATAGGAAAAAACATCCTTGCTTAATAATAGCAAAAAAGTTATTTATTATTTTGAGACCAAAATCATAAGTTTTGCAAAGTTTATATATATCAATTGATACTTTCAAAATATAAATTGGGTCACTGTATAATATTATGAGTATTCAGAGACTTTTGATCAAACTTTGATAATTTATTGGACTATATTCTTGAGTAGATACTCTACTATTAATATAAGTTTGGTTATATAATATTATATAACAACTTATTACAATTCTCATTCAAAGTTTTCAAAATTCGAACATCGATATTTCAATTTAAGAAATTTGGTATAAATACTCATAACGTTATGCAAGAACCTAATTGTATTAGCAAAAATAATGAATTATAGCAATAGCATTAAAAAATTAGCTTTGAAAAGTAATATAGTAAGGTTATTATGCATAAAAAACAAACTATCTATAGCATAGATTGCATTTTAGCTTGCAAGATTACAAGTTCAAACATTATGCCCATAACTTCCACAGTTAGCATATTTGTTTTGATTCCTTTGACTATTATTTGCATTTGTACTATTGGGACTATGAACATTTTTTTGAAAATTTGCGGTCTGCTCCAATGCACTCTTGAATCATTTAGACAACCACCCACGGTATTTTGTCACGAATAGATTAACAATAGCTAGTTAAGATTCAACTTTATTATCTACTTTATTTTCTTCTAAAAGTTGTAATTCATGTATTTTAGTTGAAATAAATTCCTCTATAATATTAAAGAACTCATCATTACAATTAAGCCATATCATCAGATTTAGTGCTTTCTTTGTTATTTCATGTTCCTTAGACCAACGTGCTTTTTTACTAACAGATTTTTGTAGAATAGGTGTAAATACATTAGA